ATATATATATTATATTATATTCTTCTTCTTATTCTTACACAATCAGTTCTTGTTTAGTAAATCAGTCTCAAAACAAGATCAAAAAGACTTTTTGGCTGGATATAAGATCTTAAAACTTGGTAAGATGGACATTTTTGCAGTGTATTCAGCAGAGTGCTAAACTCTGTTTAACAATATATGCTACAGAAACTAATGTCTGCTAACCAATTCAATAAATAACAGTGAATACATTGACTTTATAAGATTATTTTAATGTTAAACTGTTACATTATTAGCTTCAGTTCTGCTCAGATCACATGGAGGTAAATAAGATCAAATCTGTTTACTTGTGAAATGAGACCTTTTCCTGTACCTCACACAGCTTCCTGACACTTTATATACATTAGATAGATTATATACACTGTAAAATATTAATAATAGTTTCATTTTAACCATTAGTTTTTACATAATCAGTCCTTTTGTTCAGTATTTTGCCATCATGTACAATAATCACAAATCCAGTTTCTTAGCGTAGCAGCGGTTACAGTAGATCACCTGGTCATGTGGTCAAGACTCGCTCCAGCTGTTATAAACCTCCAAAGCTGCTACCTTCTACAGGTTGCTACAGTAAACAAACTCACATAAAAACAGTGGCATTGGTTTCCTGACGCAACTCATGTTGAAAGATTACTTAAGTGTGTCACTGACCACTGAGCTACTGCAGCCCTACAAAAAGCCTTCATCCTCCCATCAGAAGAGACGGTGCTTTAACAGTGCTGCTGATCTGTGTCAACCTCAATGACACATTAATGCAAACATTCACAGTGCTTATCAAAGTGTTGAGTTGTGAAAACTAAAAAGAGTGACATGTTTAATGTATTAAAGTGCGGCAGAACAGCAGCAAAGAAGGATGAGACTTCATTTAATCTCCAAGTTATGAACTTACTTTTGGTTTCATGGGAAGGAGCGCCTGGGTTTTGGAAGGAGGAGGCAGCAAGCTGGAGAATGGGTGCAGAACCAGGGTGATTGTCTGATGACAGGAGGTGGAGGGCAGGGAGAGGAGAGGAGAGGAGAGGGTGGGAGAAAGAAGCTGTTTGAATAAATAGCTCACAGAACAACATGGCCTGCATGAATGGATGAATAAATTTAACTCTTGTAATTTTTCAGCATATTTGCAGACACCTCCATTAAAACAGGCATGTAAGATGAGTTACACATCCAAGTGTTGGGTTTAAAACAGGGAGCAGGTGGTGGTTTAAAAGCACGAGAATAAGGAAAAAAAATGGGTCACATTAAAAGGCAGAGGGTGATGCAGGTTTTAGCCACAAGAGGGCAGTGTCAAAATTCAAAAAAAATTACTATGCCTCTCTGTGCAAAACACTAAAAATAAATGAATTAAAATAAAATAAACCTCATGTTTTAAGGTCCTGTTCAAACCTAACATTAACACTTACTCCATGTTGTGTGATTCCACTCGGATCACACAAAATAACAGTCTGAATTCTCTCAAAATGCATTAAAGACACATCTGAGCTTTGCCTTCCTTGTTTTGGTAATCTGAAGACAAACCATCCTCTGATATGCTGAAATAAATAAAAAAACACCTACTGCACAGATGTGACTCCATGAAAACATCTTAAATATCTCCCAGTTACAAAAACATGTAAATATTGATTCAGCTGCTGGTTATATTAAGACAATTAAACATTCCTGGGATTATTATATAATCATTATTCTCATCTATAACTTTTAATGAGGTTTTCCAGACTTTTCTTTGATTTGATCATGACCTGAGAAGTTCCACCAGCAAGTTTTCCAAATTTTTCCCTCAGTAACAAATGTTCATATTGTTCATTTGGTGAGTTTTTCTGTAGTTTAAAATTTGATCTAATTGATTTTAGAGCTGATTGGACATTAAATAAATCTGTAAATGCTGCTCAGCTGACATGGCCGTTACTGCTCAATCCCTACCGTCAGATCATTTACGCAAAAAAAAAATAAAAAAAATTAAAAAAAACTTCCTGGAAGACTGTTTGTTTTAGCATGTAGCATTTCGGGGTGTAAGAAAATACTGATACACTGAAATATTGCAATATTTCATTTTCTGATACTGTATCGATACTCTAAAGCCCTGTATCGATTTTTTATTAAGGTTTAAAATGTCAACTTTCCTGCCAGCCGTTCATTTTTATGTTGTAGTTCAGCCTCTGACCACTAGTTGGCAGCAGTGAGCCAGCCATTTGGCTCCTCTACCTCTTGAGGTAGAGGCTATTGTTAAGTGTTGGGTGACCATATTGTAAATTAATATTAAAAACCAAAAGCTGCAAAAAAATATATTTTCAAACTATTTATTGTCAAATTTAGTCTAATAATTGAAAACATGTATGAAATATGAAACAAATAAAATAAAATACACACAAAGCAGAACACAGCTAAATGTATCAAAAGTATGTCTATGTAATATTATAATTTTCTGAGACAAAGAATTTTGGTTTTTCATTTTTTTCCCCTGTAAGAGGTTTTTATTTAATACAATTTTTGGACAAAAAAAAATCGCAATATATCGCCTTGCTTATAGTATCGCAATATATCGGGATATATCGTATCGTGACCCCTCTGTCATGATATGTATCGTATCGCCAAATTCTTGCCAATGCACAGCCCTAGTAGCATTTTGCTACACGGCTTGGTGACAGAATGGATTTGTTTTCAGTCTTCCATCACCTGAAATTTCAGAGAAAAGGCAACGTTTGCAACAGATGTGGATTTTTATTCCAAGAGAAATATAAAAAACAGAAATTTTAACACTCTCTAGGAAAATGGGTACATAGCAAGTAATGTTTTAAATAACATAAATTAATATGTACGCTTTGAAGGAAAAATTATTCTGTTTCAAACTGATTTTTAATCCACTACACATTCTTGTTTTTATTTAGAGATCTAGACTGTTATTGATATTTACCATGATTAAACTGTGATTAATTGATGTGAAATCTGTTTTGAATGACAAGTCATGGACCATCTTACAACACAGTATACTTTTAAATGACGAGATTAATTAACACAAACCTTATCACCAAACAACAGATCAACATTTAACCATTTTCACATTAAGAACTCAAAAAGGTGGAAAAGGGTCAAGCCACTTGATAGCGAGGCTCCTCCCAACAGATGGGACGTTTTGCCCCTGAAGAACTGGCTCAGATCTGGAAGATCTGGATAAATATGTGCTGTGTTCATGATTCCTTACCTAAATATCCTGAGACTGAATAAAGGTCTGTACTTTGGTCCAGCTCAAAGTCTTTATTCTTTGCAATTAAATGTTCAAGTCTAAATCTGAAAAAACAACTTCCTTACAGCTTCATAAATCTATATTTTATTAATATCCAAATCTTAAGTTATATTAAAACCCTTTACAGGATATAAGCTAGCACAGCTTTATAATTAAGTATGGAAGTGATTATTTCTGGTACTTTTTCCAAAATTGAGCAAATTAATCAGCAATCAGGAAGTATTCCTTTTAGAGAATGCATAAATGAGCTGATGGTTTGGATTGTGTTTACTGAACAGATGGAACAGTGACAAAAGCTACATGTTCATTAGCATGTAGAGCACGTAACTGCATTTTGATTGCTCAAATTGTCAGGTGCGAACTCTTCATCTACAATACATGATGTAAATGCCACAACCAGAAACACTTGATGCAAAAAGAAAACAGTCTGTGAGCTCTGTGGCTGAGAGTTCTCTTTCAGATCTAGTTACTGTAGAAACTCCTGACATTTATTTTAAAAACACAAAAAAGCAACAACCAAAAGTATTTTATTTAAATGTAGCACTCACTTTAACTTTGTTACTGTGAGCCTACCTTTACTAACAGGTTCTAAAATTACATCAAATTAGTGTTGATCAGTTTCAGCATAAAAAGCACCTTTTTTCCTTAAAAAGCTGCCTGCTGCAAAGCACATGGTGAAGTTATTCACACAGCTCAGACACTCACAGAACAAACTAACATGAACGATTTAGTAACTAGAAGCCCTTCCTGACGCAACCTGAGCTACTATCTTATGATACTAATAAAGCTAATTAAATTACCTAGCTGAGTATTGAATTTAAAAAAGCATCTGCAGGTTCCAGGAAGTAGGCTGTGTCACACTGAATGGATTTTAAAGGCATATTTTGGAGTGGGTTCTGTGTAAAAGTTATAAACAACTAACTTTTACAGATAACTGTTTAATTCTGACTGGATTAATGAGATAACAGCAAGTCTGGAAGCAGAAAAGATCGAGTTAACGCTCTCGTTTCAAAACAGCTACAGTGGTGATGTCCGCTCAGGCTATTTTTAGAGCACTGGTCACATGACAACGTTTAGACAGAGTGTACAAACTCGTACGCAGCTCTGCGTGTCTATTGGTTTCCATCACAGAGAACCAGTTTAGCTTTAACATTGTGCTACAGTTCTTGTAACAGTGACTCAGGATAGAGCCATCGTCCCCATGTGGAAGGAGTCTTTTTGTCACTTTTTCCAAGCTAAGATGCTAGGCTAACAGCTGGATTCAAGCAGGAGTTGAATTTGACCAGATAAAAAGTGCAACCATGGATTTAACGTCTGCTCCAAACATTTTATCAGAGGTAAAAGACCAACACTGGACCACCCGGATCCTATCCCTGTACTTTCTGTCCATAAACAGGTACAGTAAACCTTATAGTTTTTACTGCTAGCTTTACTCCTAGCATCTATGCTAGCTTTATACAGCACTCTACTGCAGTCAGTCACACATATGGTGATAATGTTTTAATTGCAGTCTTTATCTGTTACAATAGTAACAATGAATCTCTGTTGAAAGATCATCCAGGCTACTCGTGAGAGAGCAGCAGACTGTAAACAGTACGCATAATGTCATGAGTGGAGGTTGCTGTTTAAAAGCAACAGTAGTTCATGTGAATGCTTTTTGTTTTTAGATTGGAGTTGTTTTAATACAACAGCAACCCACTTTGATCTAGCTTCTGACTAGCCGTTAGCTCATCAGTCCTGTCAGAATTATTGTTTTTTTAAAGAGCTGAGACAAAAGATAACTTTAGCACTTTGTCACAAGAACCTCTTTTAAATTCACTAAAATAAGCAAGAATGTAGAAGACATATTTTATTTTGGCACAGTCAGTTTCACATATTTGACCAAATTCAGAGAGAAGAGCTGAAGGGAAAAGACTTACTGGTGACTGAAGCTGCGTTGTTTGGAGTATCAGCCCTCAGGTACTGTGTGGTCTGAGTGGACGGCTGAGACAGACCCTGTGAGCTCCCACTGTCACTCACACTGAAACACACACACACACACACACACACACACACACACA